AAAGATGTGGAACATGGATAGGCTTACATACATGAATTTCCTGATACATCCAAAACTGCATTCTTGATTCCCCCATGAAGGAAATAAAATATGCAAATAGCACCAATAACGAAAACTCTGAATCTTGTCTTTTCTGCTTCAATAAAATTGTCATTCCATTCTTCTAGATGCTCATCCAATTAGTCAAGAAATTCTTTTTTTAAATTTGAGACAGAGCCTTACTCTGTTACTCAGGCGGGAGTGCAGTGGCATGATCTTGGCTCACTGCAACCTTTGTCTCCCAGATTCAAGTGATTCTCTTGCCTCAGACTCCTGAGTTGCTGGGATTACAGTCACATGCCACCATACCTGGTTAATTTTTGTATTTTTAGTGGAGACGGGGTTTTGCCATGTTGGCCAGACTGGTCTCTTAACTCCTCACCTCAGGTGATCCACCTACCTCGGCTTCCCAGAATGCTGGGATTACAGGCGTGAGCCATCCTGCCTGGCCAGGAAATTCTTTTAGCTTCTCTTTTGAACTATATCTTGAGTCCAGTTACTTCTCATCACTTGAGCTGTTACTTCCCTGGGTCACGTCACTGCCAGCTCTTATCTGGTCTGTTGTGCTAGGTGATCTCCTTGCTTTCACTCTTGCCCATCTATAGCCTCTTCTCCATTTGGCAATTAGAGCAGTCCTTTAAAAAAAGAAGTCAGATCATGTTGTTCCTGCTTCTAGGCTTCTTGTTTTACTAAATAAAGCTAAACAAAATACCATAGACCTAAAGGTCTTAATGTGATCTTGGCCGTGGCTAGCTCTTTGTTTTCTATTATTCTCCCTCTTGCTCCCTGTGTTCCAAATACATTAGTCTGTTTGTTGTTCTTCAAACACACCAGGCATCGTTCCACATATAAGCTTTTGTACTTGCTGTAATTCTCTATTCTTGTGTGCTATTTCACTGGATATCCACATGGTTCATTTTCTCATCTCTTTTAAGCTTTTGCTCAAATGTCACCTTATTAATGAGACTTTGTCAGTTCACTTTACATAAAATATAAACTAGCACTTGCCTCACCTGTCATATTCTATTCCCTCATCCTGCTTCATTTTCCTCTAGAGCCTTATTACCTGATATATAATATATATTTATTTGTTTGTCTTCCTCAGTAGACTGTAAACCCCGTGAGGGAAGGGTTTTTTTTTTTTTTCTTTTGGTGATAGTGGTTGTTCATTGCCATTTTCTCAGCACCTAGAACAGTACCTGGCATATAGTAGATCCTTAATAAACATTCATCAAATGAATGAATCTTAAGTGCTCATTTTGAAAAGAATACTTTTTATAAAAAGGTATCCACAAGATGGCATTATTTTCAAACTTTATTTAATTAATGTTGGGAGCAAATGATAGGTTCTTTTCTGTTTTTTTTGCCTTAAACAAAAAAGATATTTGTGAGGAAGATTGTCTCGAGAAGTTAGTAGGGTGAATATGGGGCATGTTGAATACTGCATTTATATTTGGTTTTTGATTTATATGTTTTCAGATATTTATTATAAAATAAAAAACATCTGGAGAAACTTATAGAAAATTACAGCATATTGGCTGGGCATGGTGGCTCACACCTGTAATCCCAGCACTTTGGGAGGCCGAGGTGGTCGAATCATGAGTTCTGGAGATTGAGATGATCCTGACCAACATGGTGAAACCCTGACTCTACTAAAATACAAAAATTAGCTGGGCATGGTGGCACGCACCTATGGCCCCAGCTACTGGTGGCAGGTACCTGTAATCCTAGCTACTCAGGAGGCTGGGGCAGAGAATTGCTTGAACCTGGGAGGTGGAGATTGCAGTGAGCCAAGATCATGCCACTGCACTCCAGCCTGGGCGACAGAGCGAGACTCAGTCTTAAAAAAAAATTACAGCATATTGGCGTGTAAATAACCATTTAATACAGTTATTTGCATGGTAACTGTGAATAAAGGTTGTTCATGTCTATCCATTGACCACCATTCCTTCTGAGAGGCCTTCAGCAATGAGAAGGCAGCAATAAGTTCCAGAGCCTTTCACTACTCAAGCCACTGGTGGAAATCCAGCCTAGTGCTAGAGGGCAGAAAATTGTCAGCTGTTCAATGCTTGTTGCTCATAAGTTAGATACTCTCAATCTTGTTCCTCATCAACTGGGCATTCAAAGTTTGAAAAAATTCCATGTTTCTAGAAGATGTTGCCAGACCTATCTTGTTAAAAACTGATAGGTTCTAAATGCCAGCGATTTTTTAGCTACTTCTCTAACCAGCACTAAACTCAGCAAAGAGTTTCCCTAATCAGAAAATTTATGCTTTTCCCCCAAACCCTCAGGATTCGGCTCCTCTGTCTGTGTCAATGCCATCTAATTTCTTGATTTCCTCACTTACCTCATTTCCTTCTTCCGTTTCAATCCCTGTGCCTCTCTTAAGCTCGGTTATTTGATCCATTTCATTCTCACTCTTCACACCTCTTTTGGTACTATTCCTTACTCATGAAGTATTTTTTCCTCTCCCTGTTTAACTTAACTATGTTTATTTTTCTTTTCAAATTGTTCAAAAACATACTTTTAAAAAGTTGTTGAAGTTCTCTCTTCTCTTTTCCTGTTTTAGGGTTTTCTCTTTTATTTTTGATCATAGCAAATGTAAGGACTTACTTTATTTATCTTTTTAAAGTTCTCAGCAGAGACCCAGGACTCTTAACTATTTAGAAATGAAAACACTGCTCTTTTGTATTTTTGAGTCTCTAAATGGAACATAAAATATAGGATGGTTTTCAGTTTTACAGCCTCTCCCCCCAGTTCCCCTGGGATGGCTAAGTAAGTACTAGGGCTGATAAAATGACATTTTATTTAAAATCAAATGCAATGTTTAAACTCAAAACATTTAAAATGGGCCAGGCGTGGTGGCTCATGCCTGTAATCCCAGCAGTTTGGGAGGCCGAGACGGGCAACTCAGGAGGTCAAGAGATCAAGACCATTCTGGCCAACATGGTGAAACCCTGTCACTACTAAAAATACAAAAAATTAGCTGGGCATGGTGGTGTGTGCCTGTAGTCCCAGCTACTTGGGAGGCTGAGGTAGGAGAATCACTTGAACCTGGGAGGCAGAAATTGCAGTGAGCCGAGATTGTGCCCCTGCACTCCAGTCTGGTGACAGAGTGAGACTCTGAAAAAAAACAAAATAAAGCAAAAAAACACGTTTAAAATGAAATGAGTTGGTTAAACTCAAAGACTTGTACTTTTAACATTTTTAACCATAAATATGAGAAATTTCTAGTAATGCTTTCTATATCTTATAATATGAATGATGGTGTTTTAACTTGTCACTCTCTTGTGTTTGGCATACTGCATATATTAAACTGGCTTTGACAAAATAGACAAATGGGATCTAATTAAGAGCTTCTGCACAGCAAAAGAAACTATCATTAGATTGAACTGGCAACCAACAGAATGGGAAAAAATTTTTACAATCTACCCATCTGACCAAGGGCTAATATACAGAATCTGCAGAGAATTTAAACAAATTTACAAGAAAAAAACAAACGACCCCATCAAAAAGGGGGCAAAGGATATGAACAGACACTTCTCAAAAGAAGACATTTATGCAGCCAACAAACATACGAAAAAAAGCTCATCAACACTGGTCATTAGAGAAATGCAATTCAGAACCACGTTGTGATACCACCTCAGGCCAGTTAGAATGGTGATCATTAAAAAATCAGGAGACAACAGATGGGTAGTGAGGATGTGGAGAAATAGGAATACTTTTACATTGTTGGTGGGAGTGTAAATTAGTTCAGCCACTGTGGAAGACAGTGTGGCGATTCCTCAAGGATCTAGAAATAGAAATACCATTTGACTCAGCAATCCCATTACTGGGTATATACCCAAAGGATTATAAATCATTCTATTATAAAGACATATACACATGTATGTTTATTGCAGCACTGTTTACAATAGCAAAGACTTGGAACCAACCCAAATGCCCATCAATAGTAGACTGGATAAAGAAAATGTGACACATATACACCATGGAATACTATGCAGCCATAGAAAAGGATGAGTTCATGTTCTTTTCAGGGACATGAATGAAGCTAGAAACCATCATTCTCAGCAAGCTGACACAACAGAAAGCCAAACACCACATGTTCTCACTCATAAGTGGGTGTTGAACAATGAGAACACATGGACACAGGGAGGGGAACATCAGACACCAGGGCCTGGGGGGTGGGGGACTAGGGGAGGAATAGCTGGGGGATAGAATTAGGAGAAATACCTAATGTAGATGACGGGGCGATGGATGCAGCAAACCACCACCATGGCACATGTATACCTATGTAACAAACTGGCACCATCTGCACAGGTACCCCACAAATTAGAGTAAAAACAAACAAACAAACAAAAAACTGGCTTTGAGGCTAAAATTCAGTGTTTAGAAAATCATTTTTTGTTTGACTAAGAAATTATTGGATAACATTAATTTGTTTGGGCCATGATTTTCTGTTTACCAGGGAATTAATGCATGGCATTAATTTGCATGAGTTGTTTCATTTGAGAAAGTGTATTTTTCTCGACTGAGGCATGAAGACTTACTAATACCTGGTTATTAGAATATAATATACCATATTTGTTCAAATATAGTTATTTTATTCAAGAAAATGAAAGCATTCTTATTTAGTATACATATCTTATAGCTGCTCCTCTAAATATCATTTACAAAAACCATATTTAATCCCAGAAAGATAAACCTCAGAGACATTGTTGTTTGCTCAAGTTTAGATGAGATCCAAAAGCCCTTGCTGGTTTCATGCTCTGACTGCTAACCTCTGTTAGTGCTTACAAAAGTGAGCTTACATTCTAAACCTGTATATTAAGCCATTTTGCTTATACCTGCTCTATTGATAAGGCTTATAAGTTTCTCAAATAAAATAAATTAGAGATTCGGCAATGTGGCTTTAAATAGAATTGGTTATTTTTGTTTGTGATTTTTTTTTTCACCCACAGACTGGTTGAGATAGCAGAATCCCGTTTTCCCAGATATTTTAACACTGAAGAAAAATTACTTTTGACAAGTAGTAAAGTTCATCTTTATCGGGAGCTCACCTGTGATGAAGTTCTACAAAGGTATGCTGCTTTAGATTTTGATTTTTTAGCAATGCCTTGAAGGTTTATGTTTTATCTTTTATGTTTTCAGCTTCTGAGTGAGAAAATTCTTTACAGGTTAGAATTATTAGAATAACTTTTTCAGTGTTTTTCTTTGTTATAGCCTTTTGGTTGAAGTCCTTCTTTAAAAATGAAAAAATTAAATGAATAAAATATTTTAGATTTAATTATTTAAGTGGTATATTACTTATCTATTGTATGATTAACAAATTGTCTCACAGTTTAGTAGCTTAAAACAGCAAATATATATTATTTCACATAGTTTCTGAGGGTTAAATGTCTGGGAGTGGCTTAGCTGGGTGTTTCTCACTCACTGTTGCTCAAGAGGTATACACAAGCTGGTAGCCAGGGCTGCAGTTATCTCAAGGCTTGACTGGAGCTGGAGTATCTGCTTCCAAGCTCCCTAATGTAGTTGTTGGAAGGTCTCTGTTTCTTGCTGGCAGTGGGCAAGAGGTCTTTGTTCCTTACCATCTGGGCCTCTTCACAAATCACAACATGGCAACTTGCTTTCCCTAGAATAAGTGACCGGAGAGACTGGGCAAGTGAAGTAGTACCCAAGATGGAAGCTGTAGTCTTTTATAACCTATACTCAGAAATAAAGTACCATCACTTTGTCATATGCTTGTGGTCATACAAGTCAAGTCTGGTATACTGTAGGAGGGGCCTACACAAGGATGTGAAATACCAAGAGAAGGGAGTAAGTATGGGCCATTTTGCAGACTGGCTGCCACAAGTAGTTTTAACCCAGACTTGGAGCGTTAGCATTATCTTAGGAGAACCAAGGAATTCTGAAACTACACAGAAACAGTTTCCTCTGTTCCCAGAAAAGCATGATATGTCTATAAGAGCTGAAAATAAGTTAGGTTTACTGAATTCTTGCAAACCATTACTGTAACTTAGGGAAGAATAGTTTGTTATTGTTTTTAAGTTACTTAGCCATTGCAACACCCTTATTTATTTATTATACCTTAAATTTATTGACCATTTTATAAATTCTTCTTTTATAGGATTGAATCTTTGGAAGAAGAAATTATCTCAAAAGGAATTAAACTTGTGATTATTGACTCTGTTGCTTCTGTGGTTAGAAAGGAATTTGATACACAACTTCCAGGCAATCTCAAAGAAAGAAACAAATTCTTGGCAAGAGAAGCATCCTCCTTGAAGTATTTGGCTGAGGAGTTTTCAATCCCAGTAAGTTTTTCCCCCCCTTTTTTCTTTTCCTTTCTTTTATATTACATTCACTGACTTACAGCATCAAGTAATAAAATTAGAGGAATATGTAAAACGGATGACTTTTTAAAGGTGGTACAGTCTTAATTGCTATAGCAAACATCATCATCATCTTAAATTAGTTGATCTGCTGAGATTATTTTATTCTTTTAATAATTTGAACCTGGAGCAGATTTGAATGATGTTTTTAAAAGTTCGTGTAATTCCTCCTTTTCTTACTTCTCATTGTTTACTCTTTGTGTATGCTTTATATCACATTTGTCATACTGCAGTAAATATAAAGTAGTAAAACTTCATGAAATTGCCTAGGTTCATTTCTTTGTTGCAGTCATTAGTTTTGTTGTAAGTATTTTAGGTTTAGATACCATATTATTGTGTTCTGTGCTGTTTTGTGTGAGGTAGGATTTGGTTTGCTTCAAATGGTCAAAGGTCACTATTAATGGGTGTTGGAATGATAGTAATGAAAGTGCCAGTAAGAAAATCTTGAAAGATTACTAGTGGCTTGGTGTTGAGTAGTGGGCATTGTGATCAGAAATCTGAAGATGATGGGGTATTGTAAGGAGTTGTGATGTGTAAGCTGCAACATTCCCATCTGTCAGAGGTTTCAGTTGTTCCACAGCGTCATCATCGTTCAGGCTTCTCAATTTTAGTCATGCTTCATCTCAAGAAAAGACAGTTCCTTAAACTGAGATAAAATTTGGTTATGATTTTATTATTTTTAGATTTGTTTTTGGAAAATTAAAACAAATTCTTTGCAACATAAAGAATATCTGTAAGTGATATAAACTACCACACAGCCTTTGAGATTTATAAAACCAAGGAAGAAGTCAAGGGAGAAAATGTAGCATTCAAAAAATTCTACATATTTTAATGGCTTTTTAGTTTATTTTGAATTAAAGTCAAGTGATATTGTTTGTCTTGGGTGATGTTCCTCTTTTATAGTTTATTGTAGTTGGTTAAAATGATAAATTCAAATTTATATTTTTTTCTGGTCAAGGAGAATAGGGGAACTTTGAAATAGTTTATAAAGATACTTGATTGAATAGGAATTTATGTATACAGTTGGCCCTCTGTATCTGTGGGTTCTGCATCCATGGATTCAACCAACTAAGGAGAGGAGATATTTGAAAAAACACTGGGTGTGGTTGTATGCGCCTGCACTCTCAGCTACTCAAGAGGCTGAGGCAGGAGGATCACTTGGACCCAGCAGGTTGAGGTTGCAGTGAGCATGATCATGCCACTGTACTCCAGCCTGGAAGAGTGAGACTCTGTCTCTAAAAATACTTATATATTTGGAAAAAAAGAAAAGGATTGTTGTCTTTGTACTGAACATGTACAGACTTTCTTTCCCTCTTTCCCTAAACAGTACAGTTTAGCAGTGATTTACATAGCATGTAAATCGTATCGGGTGTTATAAGTAATCTAAAGTTGATTTAAAGTATACAAGAGAATTTACATAGGTTATATGCAAACACTATAACATTTTATATGAGGGACTTGAGCATCCATGGATTATGGTATCTGCAGAGGAATCCTGGAACCATCCCCCCATGGATACAGCAGGATGACTATATATTCTTATTTTATTATTAATTCATATTGTTGCTTGACTTAATCCTGTGCAAAATAAAATTCACTTTTTAAAAGTTGTATTTGTTTGCTTTTAAGTAGTAACTGTAGGCTAATGCTTTTCAGTTTTTTCTAAGGTGATTTATTTTCACAAGTGAGAAAGGGGCTCTACTTTTCTTTGTTTCTAATAGAACCCTCTGAAAAAAAATAGGTACTAAATATCCCATTTCTCTGTCTTTGTCTTTGTTTCTATATTTAGAAATAAATGCAGATTATACTGTGTACTTACCTAACTGTGATAACGGTTTTTTGTGACAAGTAAGATTGTAAGATTGGTTTTAAAAGAATTTTGAAAAACACTTCCTTTAGAAAATTTCAGAATTTTCCTAGCTAAATTGATGCATTTAAATGAAAAATCTCTCACACAGGTCTGAGATTTAAAAAAAAAAAAAAGAAAAAAGCAAAATCATGAACTTTTTTTTTTTTTGAGACGGGGTAGGATCGCGCACGTTACCCAGGCTGGGGTGCAATGGCGCCGTCTCGGCTCACCGCAGCCTCCGCCTCCTGGGTTCAGGCAATTCTCCTGCCTCAGCCTCCTGAGTAGCTGGGATTACAGGCACGCGCCACCATGCCCAGCTAATTTTTTTTGTATTTTTAGTAGAGACGGGGTTTCACCATGTCTCTAGGATGGTCTCGATCTCTTGACCTTGTGATCCACCCGCCTTGGCCTCCCAAAGTGCTGGGATTACAGGCGTGAGCCACCGCGCCATTTTAGGTTTTGGGGTACATGTGAAGAACATGCAAGATTGTTGTATAGGTACACACATGGCAGTGTGATTTGCTGCCTTCCTCCCCATCACCTATATGTGGCATTTCTCCCCATGCTGTCTCTTCCCAACTCTCCACCCCCTGCTGTCCCTCCCCTGTTTTCCTCTGACAGACCCCAGTGTGTGATGCTCCCCTCCCTGTGTCCATGTGTTCTCATTGTTCAACACCCACCTATGGGTGAGTGAGAACATGTGGTGTTTGATTTTCTGTTCTTGTGTCAGTTTGCTGAGAATTATGGTTTCCAGGTTCATCCATGTCCCTACAAAGGACACGAACTCATCGTTTTTGATGGCTGCATAATATTCCATGGCGTATATGTGCCACATTTTCCCTGTCCAGTCTATCATCGATGGGCATTTGGATTGGTTCCAGGTCTTTGCTATTGTAAACTGTGCTGCAATGAACATACATGTGCATGTGTCCTTGTAGCAGAACAGAAATCATGAACTTTCTTACATTTATACTATACTTTGAATAGGTGGTTTTATTAAGTTGGTGCAAAAGTAATTGCGGTTTTTGCCATTAAAAGTAATTGCAAAAACTACGATATATATGGAACTAAATGTCTTAAGATAGTGTTTTGTTGTCTGGTTCATTTGCTTTGCAAATTAGTAAACCTGTGTCTCTTTGTAATTCCTTTCACATGCCCATAGATACTGCCATTAGAGGAGTATTTCATGTTCTTCAACCTGGAAGCTTTCTCCTCTAAATATCCGCAGGGCTTATTCTGTCCTATCACCTTATCAGTGAGGACTTTCCAAACCATATAAGTATTAACCATATCCCGGCTGCCCTCTTACTGTGCTTTGTTTCTTCTCCATCACAGCTTTCACCCCGTAGCATGTTATATATATAATGTTTGTGTGTTCCTTCTACTGTCTCATCCTCTCTCTCTCTCTCTCTCTTTATTGAGACAGGGTATCACTCTGTCACCTAGGGTGGAGTGCAGGCACAATCACGGCTCACTGTAGCATCAACCTCCCAGGCTCAACTGATCCTTCCACCTCATCCTCCCAAGTAGCTGGGACTACAGGCAGGAACCACCACCACACCTGGCTCATTTTTTATTTTTTGTAGAGATTGATCTTACTATGTTGAGCAGTTTGGTCTCAGACTCCTGTGCTCAAACAGTTCTGCCATCTTGACCTCCCGAAGTGCTGGAATTACAGGCATGAGCCACTGGACCTGGACTGCCTTATTGTCAGTACCAGCAATAGTGCCTAACATATAGTAGACACTCCACAAATATTTTTGAATGTATGAATTGTAGATATTACTTCTCATCTTGGTCTTTAATTAATCTTATCTCTATTGGTACTGAACTTAAGTTTTAATATTTGCTTTTAACCTTATTTTTAATATACCTTTGGTTTTAACAGTAATAAAATACAATTTTCAGTGGCAGAATGTCCTATATTGGAGATGTACTCCAGTATTAAAATTCAAAATTCTTAAGATTCTTAAATTTGAAAAAGGCTTTAGAGATTTAGATAGTATCAGAGAGCCAGGCAGTAAGAGAAGAGATTTTTATCTCAGTCTAGTAGAACTATGACAGGTGAATGTCTGATGGCCCCTGAGCATTGGGTGGTAAGCCATGCATTCTAGATATATAGATGGCAGATAAACACATGAAAAGATAGTCAGAATCCTGTCATTAGGGACATGCAAATTAAAATCACAATGAAACACCACTACCCATCTATTAGAATGGCTCAGAAAACGCTGATCTGAACCATTTTCCCTTCTCCCTAGGCTCAGGACCCAGGGCTGGTACCACCACAAACCCAGTAGCTTAAGGAATTAGGAAGAAGGGTAAGAGAGCAATCTGCTTATAAGAGCAGTGTTTTCTCAAACTAGGTTAAGTCATTGACTCCTTTTAAATGCAAATAAGATTCTCACAAAACCCCATTGCTGACTTCATTTTTATTATAATATCACAGAAATTACAGAATTATAAGACGAGTTAATAATTCTTTACATTAAATTGTGCTTATAAAACCATAAAGGTGGATTGCATCTACAGGCACCATTGTACTATTCTAATTACGCCAATTTAATATGTTATAGATGATAATTTGCTAAATTAAATGATTGATTGTAATATATGTATATAAACTTATCTTACAAATTGTTTTGAAATATATGTATAAAACTACGTATATAAAACGTGATGACTCAGCTCTTCCACCTCTTTCTCTATTTGAACTAGCACTAAAAAACCTTCATCTGTTTGGGAAGAGTGACATAATTTAGCCCTCATGTGGGCTTGAATGCATTTAAGTTTTAAGTTTGCTGTTGCTCTTTTCTACATGGGTCCCTGAGAATTAAAGAGGAACTAATTGATATCACTTGATTGAAAATAGATGTATTAATATCCTTTGGAAGTTTTCAATTATAAGATGGTTTTACTAATATTTTGAAGTTATCACCAAAATGAAAACAAATTTAAAAATTCTCACAGAGAATTTCATAGACGTTTGAATATGTTGAGACTGCAATTTTGAGAAACAGTTGTAGAAGTCTGGTAGAATCTTTTTTCCTCAAGTTTATGGAAGAGGTGTAAG